CGACCTAACTCACTCGCAGCCTCCACATTTCTGGGAAAAGGGGATCGCTGACCACTCCACTAGATGAAGCGCAGTAGTGACTAATAATGGCGAGAATATTGTTGATTAATCCCTATTCTATGTTGAGCTATAATAAAAACGAAAAGAATCGCAACATTGAGAAGACTTTCTTTCCAGCCTAATACCTTCCTCGGAGGCGGATTTACAGTTCATCTTCGAATTTCGTCATTTCGGACATTAACATTGAGTTTATTGCTGGGTGTTACCTCTTTCCACGAGCAGACGGGTGGAAGAGGTGTAGTGAAGAGTGGCCCGCTTACAAAGCGCGCGGCTTGGGGTCAAATCTCGGATGCGGCTTCGATGACGTGATCAAGGTGTGATATTCTCTGGACTTTGTTCAACTTATTGGTGTGCATCACATCAGGAACGTCCAGACTGAATTAACCTTCCCTGGTGAATCGCTCTCAAGATCATTGTTCGCGATAAACTAGGGCTAAAACGCCTTAGAGTCATGTGCCGCACTCACCTGATGTGAAGAAACATTTCTTGGACAGGGTTGTCCGGTCCTTGAAAGGCAGTTGGCACGATAGATCCCTAGAGACGAGTACGATTGACGCCTGGCAGGACGGAATTCCGCGTCCCTAAGGAGGCGCTGTGCAGCGCCCTTTCTAGGAAATGTACCCTTGAAGGGCCCTATCAAGCTACAACATACCGACCCGAACGCCCGCCCGCCCACAAATGGACGACCGTTCCTGACGCTCGTATGATTCATTTGCTAAGCAAATTATGAAGCGAAGGGATTGGTATGAAGCGGCCGTGTGCTGCATGGATATATGAGTACACACATGCAGCCGTATCTTCGGTAGCGGTTATTGGCAAGATGCACGGGAAACTCGTCCGAAATTGATTTTGAGTCATTGAGAACGAAGGCTTTTTTCTTCGCAGGATTTTGACCGTTTCACTCCGTTCTTTCGCCATTTTCCCACTATATAGCGCCCTGCTAGCATTTTAATCCGAGTTCCAGGGTAACCATCCAATAGCCTTTGAATACAGAGCACGAACCATTTAAGCAGATAAAAATTCGTAATGATGATGTCAGCCAACAGCAACGAGGGCAGTGCCTTTTCCACAGCCCCATACTACACCCAAATTCACTGCTGGCGGCTACCTGTAAGGTGTGGCTGTTTCTCTTCTAGTTCTTTTCTTCTCAAGAGGGATTCTGCGCGACAGATTAGGCGAGACTAATCAGGAGATGAGGCAAAAGTAACGCAGGAAGAAGGCGCATCCAACGAGACAAGCGAGTTTTCTCCTGTCCCCTCCCACTTATAGTCTGGTCCGCTACGGACGAACGGGCGTGTCAGGCGGGAGGATTTGTTTGACGGGATGCCAAGCTCGTTTTCCACAAGCTGTTGGAGCGAGCAAGTGACAGGGTTCACACAAATGTCATATCCTTTGCTCATTTTCTACCGACAACTGAGACAGAAGGGTTCTGGCGCCGCGGCACACTCATACTGCTTGACTCGCCCCTTCATCCGCAGCGAACTAGAGTAAATCACTTTGAGACTTCCTTATGCCTATTATCATGGCTGCTTGCGAGCATTTTACACCACCAAATGGTGGCTGTTAGCCGAGTAAGCTAAACACTTTCAATGGTTAATGGATTCTAGAGAAATGATTAGATTAGTTCTGAGAGGATTCATTTCTTTCTGAAAGTGCCTGTGTAAATGTTTAGGGCACTGGTTACGCATCAGTTAAGCAACTCCTCTTGAGGGTTTGCCACTATTCACGCAATACAGCTAGTCGTGAAGACTGCGTTCAAAAATAACGCATTTTTCGCGAACATTCAGGAAAATTTGAGGAGCAAGCATAGCAGAAAGCGAATCAGCCATACTTTTTGGTGCCCGGCATATTTTGGAAAAAGAAGCGCATGTAAATTGCTCAGAATTTTAACTCACGGGAGTAAGACTTCCTTGACTGGATTTTCCTTTGTTTCGATCGCCCACTAATACTTCTGTCGGATTTACGCGATCTGGCAGATGATCCTTGCGATTTACTCTTCCTCCGGAGTTTACAAGAAATCCAGGATTTTTTCGATTTTCCCGACTTGCCAGATTTTTTCGATTTTCCGGACTTCCCTGACTTGCCAGACTTTCCAGCAGATTTTTTAGCAGATTTCGCAGATTTCTTGGATTTTCCCGATTTTCCTGATTTGGCTGACTTGGCAGATTTCCCTGCTTTGGAGGATCCATCTCTCCCCGACTGTGATCTCTTATCTTTTGGTTTCTTCGCGCAACATATGCAAGACTTTCGACTTTTTCGTTCTGACTTGTCGTCTCGTGAATTTCTCTCACTCCTGTTCGGGGAGTCTGCGACGGGTAATCTTGGTTTGCTGTGAATGCTCATTTGACGTCGATCTTGGCTCGATCGTTGTGATGAAGCTGGTTGCGTTGCTCTTTCAACGTCATCTTGATGCGAGTGTTTTTCCCGATAGGAATCACCAGGACCCGATCCTTGAGCTTGTGAATGTTTCACTAACTTCCCACTTTGAGAAGGTCTTATCTGCAATGTAAGTTGCGAAATGTTTTAAGAGTCATTAGGGCTCCGTTCACACTTTAAGGCAGCATCCACCAGCGATAAATAGCGTCCGCCAGCGTTCCGTGCGTCTGGCAGCATGAGCGACGAGGGAAGTATAGATACCGATGTAGCGTCTGCCAGCATCTACCAGCGTGTGCCGTCTTCCAGTGTCCACCAGCGTCTCGAGGGTTACGGAAATATAGGTATCGACCTAGCATTTGTCAGCGTGCACCAGCTCCGGGAGAGGAGGCGCGGTAGGAGGGTAGCAGGCAGCTGGTAGAGTATGGGGAGATGGGAGGGTAGAATACTGCTGGTAGAGTATGGCGCGATAGGAGGGTAGCAGGCAGCTGATAGAGTATGGGGAGATAGGAGGGTGGCAGACTACAAAAGAGAGTATGGTGCTATAGGAGGGTACAATTGTCTGCTACCTCCTGTCGTGCCATACCCTCTTCTTCCGGACGCTGGTAGACACTGGTGCGCGCTGCAGACGCTGACAGAATTGATACCTACGCTTCCTCAGCCCTGGAGGCGTTCATAGACGCTGGTGCATGCTGGTAGACGCTGGAGGACGATGGCAGACGCTAGATCGATATCTGTACTTTCCTGGTCGCTGACGCTGCCGAACGCTCGGAACGGTGGTGGACGCTATTCGCCGCTGGTGGATGGTGCCGCAAGTGTGAACGAAGTCTTAGATGCCAACTACTTCATTCAGCGACGGGCTATGGACTAATGGCTACGTCTGTTCCAGGGAACAAAGTGAGCTTTAGATATTTCAATGAGAAATTTGGCGAAATCCCTCAGTTTCCAGAGGATGAAGGCGCCTAGGCAATAGAGCTTTTAGTGTAAAATTTCATCTTTTCTCAATTCGTGCAAGTATACAACCGGGAAGAACATTTTGTGAGAGTGTTACCTCAGGTATTTTTTATATCC